TACTACATGCCAGGCACAGTGCCTACATGATCTGAAATTTTGTAGTAACCCCATAAAATTACTATTTATGACATATGATCACAAAACACAGTGGATGTTTAAATTTTTTAAAATGTATTACAGTAAAAGACACACTGCCATTAATCCTCCTCCCCTTACGTAGAACACACTTAATTCCACTGTTTTTGTAACTTTCTGAAGCAGTTCTGGATGTCCTCTTTAACAAGTATCTTTAGTTGCACCGTTGTGACTGCCTCACTGGCCTCAATCAACTCAGAACACTGACCTTTTGTAGTCATTTTTCTTTGGAGAAGAGCCAGAAGTCACACAGTGCCAGATCTGGTGAATAAGGTGGATGAGAAACATGGGAATATTTTTACAAGCCTGCCTTTCCACTGGATGGCACTCAGCAGCAGCATTAACTGTATTTTTGATCACACCTTATGAAGACACAAGAGGATATCCAGAATTGTTTTAGAAAAGTGGCAAGAATGATGGGATAAACATGTTCAAGATGAGGGAGACTATTCTGAGGAAGACTGATGCAATGTGTCTTTTACTGTAATTAAAAAAATGAAGACACTCTTTGTGATCAGCCCAGGCACCCGAATTTTATCCCTAAGGAGCTGATGGGCCAAGGGGTGTCCTGACAGTGGCATCCAAGACTCATATTCCAGCTGTGACCATCAAGATTTGACTGGATTCTGACTGAATCTCAAGTCAGAGGTTCTGATAGGCAGTAATCTCCCCAAACAAAACATCAGGAGATGCCGTGCTGAGAAGAACGCTAGACAGAAACATGCCACGAACTGTGGACCACACTGTCCCGTTAGCAACTTAGGTCTCTGCACCCCAGAACATCTACTCTGCTCCTCCTGGCCGACCCATACCCTCCCACATGCATACAGTTTCAGTTGGACCTTGTGGATGCTGTTTTGAGGGAGAAAACTCCAGTGGCTGGAAGATGGAGGCTTCTCATGATTACTTTAGCTGGTTTAATTTCCCCAAAATTAAACACTTAAGCCACAGTGAATTAAGTTTAATGGTATGTGATAATCTTTAAGACAAAGACATTTCTAGACCTTGCATTCATTAATATAAACAAAAATTCTCAGTGTTACATCGTTCCCTCTCGCCTCTAAATTATTACCTTATCTTTGGTTTTTTAATCTTTGGGGAGAAAATATGCTACAAAGCAATTCTGTGATTTGATCATGACTATACAATCAAAATGAACATTCTTCTCCTGGTCCTTGGTAACAGTCACTCTTTTTACACCCTTCCCCTGTTATTTTTAATCTCCTTTTCTAGATTAGATGAATAAAATAAAAACAATTACAAAACCTTTGAATGTTAGCCCAGCAACAAAGAAACCAGCTTCTGGTAATCTCTCCTTTGCCTGATCCTGCTATGTAAAAAGCCCCTTAACACAGGGTGAAATTCTAAGACCTCCTTTCCAATCACCTCTTAAAGACCTAAGAACATTAGCTCTGAATGCTATGTGAGTGCCTTAAAAGGGGAATAAAAACCATGTATACCACAACGTGTTTCCAATTGTGTGTCAGAGATTCGCTTGTCTGAGAGATCAGTTTATTCTGTATCTTGCCTGACAAGACTGTACTAACGGAGACTTGCTGAGCCCACTCCAATGACGGAAGAGCAGTCTCTGGCTCATCACTGTCCTCCAGTGGACAGGGATTACTTGGAATTCTATCATACATGAATGCGCAGAAAGAATTACAGCTCTGGATTCCAATCCTGCCTGCTTGTAACAGCTAATATTGTTTAGTACCAGCAGTTCACACATTTTTAGCCAAATAAGACAGCATCATCTTCTACATGACTTCAGAAATCAAGAGCAACTTTTCACAATGGAAACAATGCTAATCCTAGCTTTCTTGTAGCAGTCACATTTCCTAAAGGACAATTTTCCTGGAAAAGTAATTTTAGACAAAATTACTAAACTTTACATCTGATCAGAAGACAATTACCATCCCGTGAGTTATTCCATTTCCTTTAGAGTTAGTGGATTCTGGAAAAGACTTGGAAGTGTGCACCAAGCCCATTTCCTCTCCAGTTCAGCACAAAAATATGATTACACACCCAGTTTTGTGAGTCAGGTATGGCGATGGGCCACGTCCTGGCCTGTGGACACGGGCAGAAGTAATGCACTCTCTGCCTAGGACTAAGCACATCAGATTTTCTCACAGGAGTTTCCATTTATCCCTCCTACCCATCAATCTAACCCAGCAAGCACAAGAACACAGAGGAGCCTGGGTTCCTGACTAAGCGTATGGAGGGAAAGAGCCCACAGATCAGGGCACCCCATGAGCAGGAGAGAAACTTCTATCATATTTGAGTCATTATAAATTTAAGGAGTTTATTACACCAGCTGGCATCATGGTAACTAAATAAAACACACTGGGAAATCCTAGATCAAGATTTGGTTGGGCCGGGGATTTAGCTCAGTGGTTTCGCCGGCTGCCTAGCAAGCGCAAGGACCCGAGTTTGATCCCCGGTACCAAAAAAAAAAAAAAAGATTTGGTTGATTTGGAACCTAATGTTCCAGACTTAGTGACTCAGGCCAGAACAAGACACATGGCTGGGATCTCTAGATGCACAGAGTCAGGGACACACCTGCTTGGCCCCCAGACAGCCAACTACTCCAGCATGCAGGGACATTCTGCCGCCAGGGTCAAGGCTGGAGAGGCACTTTGAACCTTAGTCTCCACAGGTAGCTGGTATACATCATCAAAAGGGAGTGAGGATCTTCCACACAACAGAACAAAGCACAAGACATCCAACTCGGAATGTGCTCTACCACCACTGCTTAAGGCACCTTCTGAGGACACTGAACAATACCAGGGGCAGAGTCCAAGCGGAATCTCTTCAGCAGCTAGTTCTTCGTAGAAATTTAACATCAAGCACCCTGGCCTTCCCCTAGGGAAGGTGCACACGTTCTCTTGGATCAAGAGAATGATAAAATGTATCTTGGTGCACAAGTTCTCTTGGATCAAAACAATGATAAAATGAATGGTGCTCTCCCTTTGCCCAGTCAGGATCCAGCCCAGATGCACCATCACAGCAACATATATCTTTTTTTTTTTTTTTTTTTTTTAGCAACATATATCTTGCTGTCATCCTTTCTCCAGCTTCTTTGGTCCTGGTTTTCTTGGTGACCTAACTGGATACTTTTCACTGCAAATTACCTTCATTACAAGGTAATCTAATAGGTGAGGTATGAATAAATTTAATTAAGGAAGGAAATTAACAATCCTTAAAAAGCTACCAAATGCATGTAATTTCACACACTTAATTCCTATTTAATTTTTGCAAAAGGTTTCATTTTTGTTTTGCAGTGCTGGATGAAATGCAACACCCTGCATATTTGAAGCAATCACTCTATCACTGAGCCACACTCCCAATCCTCTGACAATTAGAAAATATAGTAATTTTCTGTTTTACAAATAAGGAAACAAGGAACTTTAATGGAATTATTCATGCAACTCAGATGAGTAAATGATGGAAAGACTCAAGTCCAATGATATTTGACTCCAAAATTTACTCTTTCCATTTCAAAATGCTACACTTGACCTATGGCATACTGCCATCTTTTTCACAACGAAAAAAGAGGACTACCAGTCAATTTTGACTTGCTTTAAATATTCATTTTGGTATAACAAAGGCTCTCAAAATTTCTAACCTTTGACTTGTACTTTATCATCATAGTCCCACAAAACTAAAACCTACACTATCTCTTTTCACATAGAAGTAGGTTTATTTAGCAGATAACTCAGGAATTTAACACATTCATGACAGGGCTGTAATTCATCCGCCTCAGTGCCAGGTGGCTCTAAACCACCTGTGGTACATGCATGACTGTCCCACTGGGCAACACAATACAGGCCCTTCAGGTGATACAAGTCACCCTCTGGGACAATCACGCATGTACCCCGGTGGTTCAGACCAGTGGGAACGTGTTAAAAGATACTACGGGGAAAAAAAAAAAAAAAGATACTACGTTTGTAAGCTCAGTGAAATGGACATGTCTAGAAAGCTGGAGGACAGTCATGGACTTTCTTAATGGTAGAACAGGAGGACCCCAAAATATCAAAAATGGAGAAATGATTCCACACAGGATCAGAAAAACATTTTAGTATTTTTTCCCAGGTAAAGAACTGGGTAAAAGCCAAGGAGACTCTGTAATGTTATATTATTAAAACTTCCACTTTAGGCCAGGGATTTAGCTCAGTGGTTCTGCCACCTGCCTCGGAAGTGCAAGGTCCCAAGTTCAATCCCTGGTACAAAAAAAAAACCTTCCACTTTATTTATTTATTTGCCTAGCATTCTTAAAAGTGCAGCTAAATAATTACTACTATTATTGATTCTAGCAAGAGTTTTAAAAATAGTATTAATGAGCCAGGGATGTAGCTCAGCAGTGCAGCGCCTAACTGGCAAGTGTGAGGCCCTGAATTTGATTTCCCAGTACCAAAAATTAAAAAATTTTTAAATAAAAATAGTACTAAATTGGGCCAGGGACTTAGCTCAGTGGTTCTGCTGCCTGCCTCGCAAGTGTAAGGTCCCAAGTTCGATCCCCAGTATCAAAAAAAAAAAGTATTAAATTAAACCTCTGGTGACTGAAAATATCAAGAGATTCTCTTAGGTTAGCATGAGTTTTTATCTACTCACATGCCATCTTAAAATTAGATGATTAATGGTTATTATTACAGTAACTTAATAAGGTATAGTTTTGATGCCAAAATCCCACTAAAAAATACTTTCTTGTTTGAAAGAGAATGACATCAAATACTTTTATCAAAAACTTCTATAGGTGACATTTAAGATGATAAAACTATCAAAGCCAGGCTCTTCTGATCACAAAGGTCAGAACACCTCTGCTTCCTCTGAAAACCTGCTGTGCTGCTGAAGTCCTTCACATCCCCGCTGTCTGCTTAGCTGAGTGCTGCATGATGGAAAGTGGCGTTATTTTTAAGCCTTACCTTCAGATAGGATCCATAATATTTGGTTACGTATGGACTGTCACACTGACTCAGCACTGTGATTTCTTGTTGAATGTCCTCTATCTCATCTTCAGCTTCTTCCAGATCAATGATTTTTATGGCAACCACTTTCTGAGTCCGATTGTCAATGCCTTTGAACACCTCACCAAAAGAGCCCTTTCCAATCTTCTCTAGTTTTGTAAAAAGCTCCTCTGGGTCTGCTTTCAGGTTCTGTAGGAGAGAAGGGAAGAAGGAGAACTTCAATACTCCACAGTGCTGTGACTGTTTCTTTGTTTTATTTTTCACACTGGGGCCCACAGTCCTTAGAGGACTGGTCTGTCTTTGTGTCCAGGGGCAGGCTGCTCATGACCGCAGTTCTTCGGGGTCAGGACCTAAGAGCCCCAGGTCTCATCGGACTATTAAATGCACCAAGTGCGGGCCCGGGATTTAGCTCAGTGGCTTTGCCGCCTGCTATGCAAGTGTAAGGACCCGAGTTCGATCCCCAGTACCAAAAAAAAAAAAAGGGTAGTAAATGCACCAAGTGTGTAAGAACAATCTCCCAGTTAACGCAGAAAAAATGGCAAAGACTCCAACTTTTATATAATGAAAGTGAATGAAAATCTTTTTATATGGATTTACTGAAAAATCTGTTGGGCTGGGGATGTACTCAGTGGGAGCTCTTGCCTGGCATGCATGAGGCCCTGGCTTTAATCTCCACCATGCCAAAGAAAAACCAGGGCAGTGGGAGAGGAAGGAAAGGGAAAGTTAAAAGAAAAAATTCACTTTTTTTTCCTTCAGATATGCAATAAATATAAGTTTAATAGTATATATCAACAGGGGAAAAGAAATAAGCAGCAGCCAATATTTGATTTTCATCCTTACCACTTTTTCTAGGGTCCCTCTAACTTGATGTAAACTTACAATTTTCAAGGAAATTCTTATTCCACTCCCATTTTATCATAAATACATTGAACAATTTTTCTGTTTGTATGATACAACAGGAAAGACTGCTACATTTGAATGGAAAAGACACTCCATTTGTGATCAATGTCACATAAAATCACATTCCCATCAGAAAGCACAAACATCAACATTACAAAACTAAAAATACACAGGAGACCAATACCATTCAATAAAATGCAAGCTACTTCAGTGTCCCCCAAAAAGGACCAATACTTCAAAAAGCCATAAAGAAAACCCCTGTCCATTTCCAAGTAACCCAAGTAGGAGAAACAGCAAGACACTATGCGAGCTATTTTACCCCTCCCCTGGCCCCTCACTACTTAAAAAACTGCCTGCTCTCCACAGAGACTGAAAATGGGCCTCATTTCTTCTTGGGGTAGAACAAATTCACTGACACCCTTGTGCAATATCCCGTTTCTCAGGAACCCTGGCTCTATACCTAGTTCTGCTTCCAAAGCCTCTTCATGTAGTTCTGGGTAAGACTTGGGATCTGTTCCATTAAGACGGGCCATAGGAACTAGGAGTTTCATCTTGCTGGTTTCAGCGTGGGTCCTTGGACCCCACAGGAACTCATAGCGAGCAGGATCACTGTTAGGAATCTGCCGGTACATCAGGTACTCTTCCTGTACTAAATCCTCAGTGATGAATTTCCAGGCTTCCTCAAAATGAATATGTTCAGACTGAGCTAATATGTCCCATCTTTCCCTTTTTGGGTTAGGTCCTCCTCACTGATACGGTTGCCCTCTATGAAAATTAGACAGGACGAATACAATGATGTCGAATTTGAGAATAACTTTTTCATCATCGCCATCTAGTATTGGGACTAGCTCATATGTATTGCTAGAGTAATTCACTTTCCTGATTTTAATGCCAAAGCCCAGATACATGGACTCACAGAGTTCTCAAAAGTTCAGAGGGAAGTTGTTACAGTAATCAGGGGGCAGAACATGGAGCATTTCTTTCATGGTGACCTGCTCCTTCTTTTGATACTTGTGGAGCAGAAATGACACCAACTTACATAACTTGGCATTTAGGAGCACATTTTGCACGATGTGAGAGAAGTGTGCGTCCTGTGAGGAGCTTGAACCCTCACAGGGTTGACTCCTTTGACTGGAAGCCATGAGGACAGCAAGAACTTGTTGAGGATCAGATGCTTTCAAATCTCCAGTGCTGGAAAATTGAGCGATGAGCAACAGCAATTCAGCTGCTCCAGGAATCCAAACCCAGATTTTGAAAAATCACAACTGAGAATTCTCCACTGCACAGTGCAAGGCTAGAACAGAGGCAGGAATGGGTTATCTTCAGTCTCAACCTGGAATGTGGCCTTCTCTCTCACCCTCAAAACTCACTCTTATCTAAATAAAATTTCCACTTTTCTCCATACCATTTCCCAAATTTCCTAAATTTAGATGAGTATTTACAAAACCATAGGTTAACTAGCTAACAGGGTAGGAAAATGTACCCTACTTCTAACAGACTGTTTTCAAGTCTAATAAGTACAGTTCTATGCATTTTCATGTACACCTACAGCTTTCACATAAACAACCTCACCTAGAGAATAAACAGTCTGTTTTCTTTCATCATGTAGATGTCATACCTCAAAATGACTTCTAAAAGCTCTTCACCGCCAACCTGCAGGCTACAAATTGCAAGTGTTCCCCATGTCCAAGCAGTGAGGGTGCCTGGATCCAGGTATCCATCCCAACAGCCACCCACGCAGAAATGTGTGGTCCCCAGGGGCACCTGGGACTACTGGCCGGGGGGTGGGGGTGGAGGGTGGCTGACATTTAGAGAGCAGAGCCAGGGACACTTCGGATCTCAGAATAAGTACCTCCCCAGCCTCAAATGCCAGTGGCATCCCAGCAACAACACCAGCCTGGAACCCCACAGGGCATGAAAGGACCCCAGATCACCAAATCCTACAGACACATCTACCCTCAGAACCCCTGCACACAGGAGAGGATGTTGGGCCAACCTCAGAGTCTGTTAATGCAACAAAGACAGTGAAGTGTCACAAGAAAGGAAAAAGAGGGGAAAGGACAAGGACTGAAAAGGAGGTAAAGAGGAGAAGGAGGTATCCACACATGGTGACATGCAAAGGACGTGGCACTGTCCGTGGCACTGAGTGGGCTTCAGGGCATGCCAGGTGCCCACCTCGCACTTGCTTCCCAGGGCAATGTCCACTGAGTTCCCAGCAGCTACTTCCTAGGGTCCCGCTGAACACCAGGCAGCCCGTTTCCAGCTTGAGAAACAGGTGCTACAGCAGGTCCCCTGCAGAAGCTCTGTATGTCAGTAATGCAGAAGCCAACAGTCACCAGCGACCTCCTTCCAAAGGGCTCCACGAGACTGCACCGGAGCAAAAGAAAAGCTCACGAACCCTCTGGCCACCCTAGCAAACACGAACAAAGTGAGGTCCATATGCTAGATATCATATATGTGGTGTGAAATGTGTCCCGAACTTACCATGCAAAGGGGCATACAGGATAGAGACCATGTCACTCGGAGCTCTGCGCACCTCAGAAAGGAGCAGCCTAAGTGACCCAGAGCCTAACTCCCAGGATCACACAGACTACAGCTTTAGCCACAACCTGCTCAGCTAATAAACAGCTACACACACCACCACTGTGTTGAAAATCTAACTCCATTCACTTTCACTTCTACTTAAGGCACTGCGCTCCACATTTCAACTGGGGGATTGACAGAGATGGCCTTGAACTGTTTTTTCTTTTTTCTTTTTTTTTTTTAATTGAACTGTTTTTTCTGGGCAGTGGCCAACTCTTTTAGGTCATGGAACCAGGTCTCCAATGTCTTTTAGACACGAAACATGCTCATAAAGCCTGAACATATATTCCAGGCTTTAAAACTAGTCCAAAACCCACATCTGCCAAGAAAGTCTATGACCAGCATTTGCAGTCCAATTTCCTCAGGGGGACAGTTTGGAAGGCTAGGAGGCAGCCCCAAAATATGCTCTTACAATTATCTTTTGGGGCCGGGGATTTAGCTCAGTGGTTTTGCCGCCTGCTGCGCAAGCGCAAGGACCCGAGTTCGATCCCAGGTACCAAAAAAAAAAAATTAACAATTATCTTTAAATATGCCAAGGACTCTGGGTAAGCACGCCCTGCAAGGTCACGTGTGACAATGTCCCCAAAGAACGTCAGAGAGCCCAGGCAGGCACCTTGCACCCTGCTCACCCCTTCACCCTGCATCCCCAGCCCTCCTGCACAACATAAGCTGCTATAAGTAAAGGATTTTGGGGACGGGGGTTCATTTCCTTTTCTGAACTTAATGAGACATAAAAGTGAGTTTGCAGCTGTGCATTTTCAGCAGCTATACACACTTCCGTCTCCCCATCCGTTCCCTTACCTCCTTCCCTCCAGAATGAGGCGGGGTGGCCCTCCTCTTCTTCCAGGCCAATCCTAAGAGCTGGGCTCTGGAATCCATCCTCCTCTTCTCCTGGGTATGGTTCATCAGAAATCCTCTTCCCTGCTCCCTCTTCCATCTAACCCCTCCTGGTGCTCTGCCCTGGGCAGCAAGCTCAGGTTTCACCCACTCCCTCCTCCTCCCTCCTCCTCCTCCTCCTGCACTCCTTCCTCTGAGGTCCCCAACAGTCACCTCCACCTGCCCATCCTCCCCCTCCACTCCTCCCTCCGCCTGCCGACACTGGTCACCAGCCATGCGAGATGCAGCATCCTTCGTGAGAGCCTCATCACCCTGGCCCTCCTCCTTGTAACTTTCCAGTCCCTTGGTATCTACAACAGTCCTGCTCTCGGCTCTTCTCCCAGCTTCCTAGCTCCAGAAGAATCTTCACACACAAGACTCTACTGAGGGTGGTCCCGAACCCAAGACATCCCCTGTTCCAAGCTAGACATCCTGTTCTTTCTCCATCCTTCTCCCTGAATGGCTGGCAGTTCCAGGCGTGGATAAGAGAGCACTGGTTCTCCAAACCTGACTCATCAGAATCACCTGGGTCATGTACAGTGAGTGGGGAAGAGGGCATGCACAGTTCACATTTTAAGAACACTCCAACTGATTCTAAGCAAAAGCCATCTTTAGGATCACTGCTTTCCATTTTTCCATAAATGAATGTTCACAATGAAGCCCAGTCATCATCTGCACAGGACCATCTTTTTTTAATAGGACATCCCAAGCTCAATGTGAACTAAAAACATTTGTCACTTCCCCTGCCTAAATGGACCATCCTCCCATGTTCCTCTTGTTTCACACTGTCCCTTTTGCTGGATAGTAAACTGGGGGGAGTCTGGGGACCA